TTTAAAAAAAAAAATAAAAATAAAAAAAGCACACCCAGAATAAGTGAGTTCGACAGCATCTTTAATAGAAAAGAGCAAAGCGATTTTACAAGCCAACACACTACACCGTGACAGATCTAGCATGTTTAGCCAGTTTAAACAGCACAAGTGAAGCCTATTTACAAGCACTAGATTCAGTGTAACAACTCTGACTGATGATGAGCCCCTTTCTGGACATGAAACGACTCGAGGGAAAACGAGGGAATGGGTTTAGTGCAGATGATCTCCAGCGGATCAGAAGCACCAGAGAACGACAGAGGAAGGTGACGGCGAAAGAAGTATCAAACCCTAACCAGAGCAGACGGCATCCTGGGCTTTGGCTTTGCTCCTGCGGTGTTTGGAAGCCCGAACCTCCTCCATGAGATCCTTCAGATACCGGATCTCTCGGCTGATGGACTCGGCTTTCTCCTGGAGCTGGCGGTTTCTCGTCTCCAGCTCAGCGCACTCGGAGCTCAGCGTCTCCTGCTCGGTGCGTTTCTTCTGCCGGTAGCGCGTCGCGGCCGTTTTGTTCTGCTCCATCTTCTTCAGCTTCTTCTCCACCACTTTAGGAGCACCGGCGCCCGGCTCGGGTCTGGAGTAGGGTTTGGTTCTGGAGGAGCCCGCGGGCGTCGGCGAGGGTTCGGGATCTGATCCGGAGACGGAGATCCCGCTGTCGCTGTCGGATGAATCGCTGCCTCTCGCCTCCTCTGTGGGAGTCATGTGTGGTGGAGCGAGCGGGAGCACAGACACCTCGCTGCCCAGCTCCAGCGTGAAGCTCGGATCCGGAGACGGAGGCTCAGATGTCATCTCCACAGGCTCCTGCGCCGGCTCCGGGAGGGGAAGGTCAAAGGTCAGCGCCAGGCCCAGCTCGGTTGAGCCGAACGGGAGTGAATCCAGGTCCAGATCCATGTCGGTGTCCAGGCAAGCCAGCAGCTCTTCTGGAGAACCGGGAGGCTCGTCTGAATCACATGATCCGATGAGAGAATCCAGGTCAAAGTCATTCAGGTCTAACTTCTCCGTCATCCAATCCATGCCAGAAAACACACCGCCTGCTGGAGGAAACAGACAAGAGTTTAGTAAACACGACTAATTTTAAATGGTTTAAATTCTGTGTATAGATAAACTACTAGCTACTAGAAGAGGAAAACTCCCTTAAACGTGTAAACACTGCAGCCCAACTAACCCAAACTAATCTGAAAACACTCATTTTCATCTGGGACACTATTATAGTTTATCAATATATTTTCAATTTTCACATCAATTTTAATTAGCTTTTGTAATTTGTGACCCTGCCTGTGGAAACCCAGATAAAGTCATTTTTTGGTGATTTACGGTTTTCTACATAAAATCATCCTTCATAAAGACACATGCTATGAAAATCTAACCTTTATATCTTTAATATTGACTGAGTAAGGCCATGTCAAAGATTTAAATCATAGTGAAATTAATGGTTGAGATCAAACTTTGATGGTTATCTCATAACTAGATTTTAAGACTTTAGCCTGGATTTCACAGACAGGGTCACATTTAGTTTTGCCAATTCTATTAGTTTGTCACTATAGTTTATTAATTTTTCTGTTTTAGTTTAGCACATCAACTTAAAGTAAATACACACAACAAGTTTAAGTTATATTCTTTTCTACATTTTATTCCGGTTAATGTTTATTTCATGCAACAAAAAAGTTTATCATTTTGGTTTATATATACACAACAACTCTGCTTCAATTCAGTGTTCACCTACAAAGTGCTAGTAATTCTCTGAAAAATAATATGCAACACATTATAGTGCACTTGGTTTTACTAATGGTTCCATTTAGGGTTATTTTAGAATCCGCTTTTTTTTTATGTGCCTATATAATTTTTAACAACTTATTTCAGTTTTGATTTTAGTACATCAAGTTAAAATAAAAAAAAGTTTTTTTTTTTTTTTTTTACATTTAATGAACTAATAACCCAGGTGCCATTCAACTGAGCCGTATGAAAAGCAATCACAAATCTGTCCATGAGTGTGATGCATTGAGTTTCCAGTGCAAATGCGTGTGATGCATTGAGTTTTCAGTGCAAATGCGTGTGATGCATTGAGTTTTCAGTGAAAAGTGCGTGTGATGCATTGAGTTTTCAGTGCAAATGCGTGTGATGCATTGAGTTCTCAGTGCAAATGAGTGTGATGCATTGAGTTTTCAGTGCAAATGCGTGTGATGCATGGAGTTTCCAGTGAAAATTGCGTGATGCATTGAGTTTTCAGTGCAAATGCGTGATGCATTGAGTTTTCAGTGCAAATGTGTGTGATGCATTGAGTTCTCAGTGCAAATGAGTGTGATGCATTGAGTTTTCAGTGCAAATGTGTGTGATGCATTGAGTTCTCAGTGCAAATGAGTGTGATGCATTGAGTTTTCAGTGCAAATGCGTGTGATGCATTGAGTTTCCAGTGAAAATGCGTGTGTAAAGTGTCACCTTTGCTCTGCTCGGGCTCGGTTTGCGGCGGCCAGGAGAGTGTCAGCAGCTCTGACTTGCACCCTACAGAAGCGTGACGAGAGGGAGAGAGGGGTGAGAGAGAGGAGGAAGAGGAGAGGGGCGACGATGACCCCTCCGACAGAGCGCTCTCCTCATCTTCGTCCAGAAGGGGCCCAAAGGGGTCAGCCATCAGAGATGAGGGCCCCAGGATCAGGGCCCCCACGTCCTCCAGACTCATCTGAGACACCACAGACATGGCAGAGGGTCAGAGGCGAAGCGGAGCGGGTCAGGGGTTCTGGTGAGCTGGTGAACGGTGTGGTTATGCTGTCTACAGCAGCAGAGCTGTGGGTGGATGCCACAAAGGACCTGAAAGAAAGCAGGCGAGACGACGTTACAGAGAAGGAACGAGACGCTCGCACCTGACCGAAGAACGAACGAGGAAACGAGACTCTTCGAGTGATCCTAACTGATGTTTTGAAGTTCTAGTCTGAGAACACTACTGAAAACTAACTGCGGCTGGAAATTCTAAGCAACAATCAATCAAAAATAGTCTTTATTGGGGCATGCGTTCACATTCACACACTTTACAAATCACACTCCTATGCATATTCTATTATAGCGTTGCTGCAAATCATTTTTTTTTTTTTCTAAGAACAAAAAGGAATCAGTTATCGATTCCCAACCCTTGCCAGAGGGAAGATTTAACGGAACAAACTGGATTTTAATTCACTTCCTTGCACTGGATAACCAGTTTACCAGCACTTTAAACCAGTTTATCCAGTCTCTAAACCGCCGAGGGGCGTTCCAGTTAAAACTCGAGCTGCCCACACACCCCTTCACTTCCCATCACTAATATTGACCAACTTAAACGCCTCCTAACTATTATTAACCCAATGACTAGCTGACCTTTAACAGGAATTTCCCCGCCCTTCCAGATAACGTTTCCTAATATGGTCATAAACACGGGAAGCCCCGCCCCCTGGTTCCTGCGCGAGATGAAGGTGTCCCTCGCGCCATTTCCAGCGCTCAGCAGGCGGCCGCGGGCCCGCGCGCCATTTTGAGGTGCCACGTTGCCGCTCCGCGACAAAAAAACAAAAACAAAAACAAAACCGCGCGACGGAAGAATCAAAACAAAAGTTCAGAAACACTTCACAAAGCAACACTGTGATACTGCTAAACGTCAAGCTAAGCTAGTTATAACTACTACTAACAAACAGCACCGCCTTTAAAAACTTCGACGAGTTCTTGACATACTAAATCAAACGTCAAGGGCTGAGAAATACTTACGCCATTTTGCCAAATAGAGCCAGTGCACTTGACCGCTGCACTGCTGGATTCGCCGCTGCGATTGTTGCCGCTGCAAGCCGCTACACTGCCATGATTCCCGCGGGAGAGCAGTGTGCGGAGAGACTGGAGCGCGAGAGAGAGAAACCAGAGAAACAGAAGCGCCGCCGCTTATATACGCGCGCATCACACCCACACTGTGCGCTTCCGCCGCGCGTATCACTCCGCCCATGTCCGCTTGCTGATTGGCCTCTGCGCCTGTCAATATTTACCAAACAAATAGTACCTAAATATTTACGTTCACAGGATGTAGGTCGTGCGCGCGGAGCTCAGACAGGAAACAAAAGCGTCGAAATTACATTAATAGTTTAGATAGTCCGAATAAATAACATTTTACGAGCGATATTCTTTCAGATTTTATTAGCAAGAGAAGCTGATGCTAAGTTAAAGTAATCTCTACTCTTACCATATGATTAATAATTCATGGAGAACGGAGACAGAATGGACAGTGTTAAATACACTAGTGCTAGTAATTCAATCAGGCAGCCATTTAATCTCAGGAAAATCTTTTTATTGTAATTATTTTGACACATTTGCAAAGGTACAACACGAGAATACATGCCTACACAAGAGTAAAATAGAGTTATAAGAAACTGAAGAAGTCTGACCTCTAGTGTAAACATTAATGAAATGACAATCGTTTCGTTTTTCCTGCTTGTATGATGATCTGATTATTCATTATGGAATGGAGAAAGAATGGTCACACATGAACAGTGTTGTTGGTAACGCATTACAAGTAACGCGAGTTATGTAATCAGATTACTTTTTTCAGCCTGAGGCTTATTCATTTCACTTTTGGTGTGAAAGGCTTTTATATTTGCCAAAAATATAACTTTTTTATTTTAAAAACAAACAAGCAAGCCCTGTCCAGATTTAAAAAGTAACGCAAAAGTAGCATAACGCATTACTTTCCATAAAAAGTAACTAAGTACCGTAATTAGTTACTTTTTCATGGAGTAACGCATTACTTTTAAAAGTAACTTTCCCCAACACTGCACATGAAATGCTCAAAATATTCTAGTGATTCAGTCTCAGGAAGATCTTTGTATTATTCTGAATACAACACAACAACACATGTGTACAAGAGAGCAACAAACACCAAATGAAGAAACAACCCTTTCCTTCACCATATTTGAACACCGTTCCTCATATCTCTTCCGAGAGCAGTTTCTCTCTCGTGTCCATCAGCTCTGTAAGGCCGGTCTGATCTGCTCTGCCACCTCGCGGATCTGCTGGGCAAATCTGGTCTTTGACTCTTTCTTGAGTTTCTCTGAATCTTGTCCGGTGAAGTAAAGATCCATGCCGACGGCAAAGCCATGAATCACGCCCGAGGACCGGCTCATCACGCTCCGCGCCGTCGATGTTCCGCCTGCTATCCTGACGAGCCGCACGATCTTTGCGGACTTCACATTCACGCGTTCCAGCGTCAGCAGCTCATATTCTCGGAGTTTTCCCATCTCTGTGCTGATGTTATCCAAGTAACGTTCAACGTCCTTCATCTCACTCTGGCACTCCTTTAAGATTGTTTCCACCTTCTTCCTGACCTGATTTTTCTTGACTTTGTTGGTGATGGCGGCCGAGGCCCCCGTGACCCCGCCAGCGGCCGCGACCCCGACCCCGACCACCGTGATGGCCAGAGACGCTCCCAGAGTCACGGGGGACAGGAGGATCCCGGCCACGGCCGCCGCGCCGCCCACCGCTCCTGTGGCTCCTCCGGTGATGCCAGCGATCTTCACGCCTTTGTGCGTCTTATCCACACCATCAGCCACTTCCTGCAGCTCCGTAATCTGTCTTTCTAGAGCGCTTTTATAGCTTGGCAGATGAGAAACAAAGAGCTGAAGAGTGTTTGTGAAACTTTCACCAGTGTGCATGAAGGACCTGCAGAGACAAAAGACAAATGAAGCAGAAATGAAGCATGTTCTCGTCCTGCTGTTATACAGATGGCTGAATTAATCAATCCGTACCACTTTTTATGTATATTTTTGTATACACTACCGGTCAAAAGCTAGGGATCAGTAAGACTTGTAATGTGTTTAAAGAAGTCTCTTCTGTTCATCAAGGCTGCATTTATTTGATCAGAAATACAGAAGAAAACAGTAATCTTGCAAAATGTTATTACAATATAAAATAATGGTTTCTATTTGAATATCCTTTAAAATATCATTTATTTCTGTGATGCAAAGCTGAATTTCCATCAGCATCATTACTCCAGTATAAAGTGTCACATGATCTTCAGAAATCATTCTAATATGCCGATTTATTATTGAACCTGTGATACTTTTTTTTCAGGATTCTTTGATGAATAAAAAGTTAAAAAGAACAGCATTTATTCAAAATATAAATCTTTTCTAACAATATAAATCTTTGCTATCCCTTCTTATCAATTTAACACATCCTTGCTGAATAAAAGTTTTAATTTCTTTCAAAAAAAGAATAAAAATGTACCGACTCCAAACTTTTGAACAGTAGTGTAGTTGAACTGTAATATTTCTGTTTTGAACAAATGTTCTTCTTTTTAACTTTGTATTCATCAAAGAATCCTGAAAAAATTATCGCAGTTTCCAAAAAAATATGAAGCAGCAACAGTTTCCAGCTCTGATAATAAATCAGCATATTAGAATGATTTCTGAAGATCATGTGACACTGAAGACTGGAGTAATGATGCTGAAAATACAGCTGCGCATCACAGAAATAAATTACAGTTTAATGTATATTAAAATAGAAAAACGTTATTTTACATCATAATAATATTTCACAATATCACATTTTTTCCTGTATTTTTGATCAAATAAATGCAGCCTTGATGAGCAGAAGAGACTCATATAAAAACCATTAAAAATCGCTCTGATCCCAAACTTTTGACCGGTAGTGTATGCTACAGATGAAGAATGTGTGTATTTGTACGGATCCCTGTCCGGATCCACTTTACCTGAAGTCTGAATCTGAAACCACTGTAGATTCTCCTGACAGAAACAAAAACAATTCTGTTTCAATGTCTTAGTGACAGAAAGTGTGGAAACTGAAAAAAAAAAAAATGATGCCAACTTTAAAAGTTGCAGGAAAACATGCAGTTGTCGCATGCAGTATTTTGTGTAATTTGTCTTGTTTTATTATTAGACAGAAAAGTAGCGAAACACACTCGTCCAGGATAATAACACAATAAAGTTCAAAGTAAACTTGTTTCCATTGTGGTCCTTGATGCTTCCGCTAACAGGTACAGCTGGCACTGCCTTAAAAATAAAGATTACAAGATTATCTCTTACTCGAAGTGTTTCCCATCCGAAAGCATTTCTTTTCCTGCTGGAAAGAGAGCAAAGCTTCAGTCTTTATTATTCTGACACTTCAGTCACACTTCGTTTATTATAAAGAGAAGATGCACTTTACATGTTTGAGATGCTGGATCAACAGTTAGTGGATGATGTTGCTATAGTTACACACTTGATCTGATGAAGATGGTCTGTGACTGAAGTGAATCAAGGTTTATCAGACTTGTAGAATCACAAGAACATGTCTAAGGAAGGTAAATGGCACTCAGACGGAGTTTATACCTGTGGCTCGCTGCTCTGAAATCGTTTACTCAAATGATCCTCCAGATCTGCTTTGAAAATGACATCCTTCTGCATTTTGAGATGGAAACACACAATGCCGGGATGAAAAGTCATGATTTAACACTTCAAAATATCAGTATTTATTCATGAATAGGCATTATGGGTTGTGTGCTTTAATCATGTCTGTATGAAAATGTACCTCAGAACAGCTTGAAATGAGCTCTCGAGGGCTTCCGGTTCCGGGTTTAGTCCTCGGTTGTGGAAGTGGAGGAACCACGCGTTTCTCATACACATTCTCTCTCTTCAATGCGGAAAAACAAAGCAGATCCTTTCAGTAATGATGCACAAGAAACTCGATAGTATTCAGCTAGTTGTAGAGGAACTGAGGTTTTCTTTCTTGTTTACGTTTGTGTGTTGCTCGGCAACCACTTTGTAGCAACCACAACTGTTTCTGAGGAGCTACATTGTTTGGTGGAAGAATACTGTTTTTATTAATATCATTACACTTTATTTGCTCTGTTTTATTTTGTGAAACCTTACGTCAACCTTGACCGATTCTTAAACATGCTGATGATAATCCATGACGATTGCTTTTGTTCTTACCTTGCGTGGCCCTGGAGCCAGTCGAGGAGCAGAACGCTGAAGAACAGATCAGAAATCATTCAGAACGACATGCGCCTCAAAACCGCTGAAGAACCTGAACCTCAGGGTCTCGAAAAACACAGTGAGCCCAGTGAACTAAAGCCCATCAGAATGAAACCCCGGCGATAAAAGTGTGGATTTGTAGTTTGGATTCATTTGGGTTTTCTTCTTCTCTTTTAGTTTGTAATCAGTATTTCATTGAAAATATGACACGTCAATTTGGCTTTTGTAAATTACCAAAGTGGTACTCATGCTAATATAGTAAACATACTAAACATATAACATGACATTCACATATGTGATCCTGGAGTCGCTGGGGGATATTTGTAGCAATAGCCAACAATACATTGTATGGGTCAAACTGATACATTTCTCTTTTATGCCAAAAATCATTAGGATATGAAGTAAAGATCATGTTCCATGAAGATATTTTGTAAATTTCCTACTGTAAATATATCAGAACTTAATTTTTGATTAGTAATATGCATTGCTAAGAACTTCATTTGGACAACTTTAAAGCTGATTTTCTCAATATTTAGATTTTTTTGCACCCTCAGATTCCAGATTTTCAAATAGTTGCATCTCAGCCAAATATTGTCCTATCCTAACAAACCATACATCAATGGAAGCTTATTTATTCAGCTTTCAGATGATGCATACATATCAATTTTAAAAAATGGACCCTTATGACTGGTTTTGTGCTCCAGGGTCACATATAATCATCACAGATCCGTCATATTAATTATCTTTGGCAGTGGAAACACAACTGTATGGAATACACAGACACCTGCAGGTTTAGAATTACGTTTTAGGTTTAGGTTTTAGAATCACTTACATCGTCCATCGTGTGCAGATGTTTAATGCTCACGGCTGTGTTTCTGTCTGTCTGCAGAAGTGTGAGACAGATCAGCTCTAAAGCCGTCATGGCACTCAATCATCAGGCATCAGTTAAAACACTTTCACTTACAACACAAAGAAGCGTTCACAAACATCATGTGTCGGTTTATTCTGGAATTCAAAGTTTAAATGCTTTAGAAAATAAAGGAGATTCTTTACTTAAACTTGAAGAACCAGTAAGGACTGCTTTAATGGCATGAGATTTAAACATTTGATTTGAGTTCACATCTTTATGTTTGTGTGCTACTATAAGATACTATAAAACAGCTCTTAAAAACACAGGTTCTTGATGGATCCATGAAGAACCTGTCCGTTCCACAAAAGATTCTTTATAGTGGATTCTTTATTTATAAGTCATTCACACTAAGAAAAAAAAAGTTTGTTCCATCACTGAAGAGTAAGAAGTAATTGCTACTTTTTATCTCGCAATTCTGACTTTTTTTCTCAGAACAGCAAGTTTGTATCATGCAATTATGAGGAAAAAAAGTCAGAATTGTGAGATAAAAAGTCGCAATTATTATTTTTATTTTTTATTCAGTGGCAGAAACGGGCTTCCATACTAAAGTTCTTTAATGAACCAAAAAAGTTCTTCTGTGGCATCACTGCAAAAACCCAAACCGGGGTGAATCCAAAATGTGTCCAATAGAAAGCTCCTTGAGAAAGTGTCATAAAATAAAGCATGTTTTCACAGTGACGCCAGAAGAACCTTTCAGTGACCAGTTCTTGTGTAAAGAACATTTTAACTAAAGAACCATTTGTGGAATGGAAAGATTAAAGATGTTAAAGTTCTTCATGGAACCATCAGTGCTCAGTTTGAGATGGAAGCGTGTGGTTTCATGGGCTCTTCAGCACTGAGACCCCCAGCAGAGCATGTTTTTGATGCGTATGAGCTGGTCGATGTTCTCTTTGAGTTTCAGAGCCACCTCTCGGATCTTAGCGGCGAACATGCTCTCCGAGTCTCTCTTCAGCCTCTGCGCGTCGTCTTTAGTGAAGTACGACTCCAGATCCGCGGTGAACGCCTGCACTACGCGAGTGTTTTCGCTCAGCGCGTCGATGACGTCAGAGTTTCCGAGCCGCTCCGCCAGCTTCAGCGCGTCTCTTGCGTCAGCGTCGACCGCGAGCGCCGCGAGCTCCGGCCTCCTCAGGTGCTCCATGCCGCTGATGATGAACTTCAGGCACTCCTCCACGTCCTCCATCTGGCTCTGATAGTTCCGGAGGATCTTCTCCACCTTCCTCCGGTCCTGAGTCTTTCTGACTTTCTTGCTGATGGCGGCTGACGCTCCGGTGACGCCTCCGGCCGCCGCCACACCGACGCCGATCCCCGCCACCGATCCCCGCCACGGCCAGCGAGGCTCCGAGGGTCACGGGCGCCAGAGCGATGCCCGCTAGTATAGCCGCCGTTCCGATGGCCCCCGTGGTGCCGCCCGTGATGCACGTTTTCTTCACCGTCTTGTCCAGTTCGTCGGCGATGCAGTTGAGCTGAGTGATGAAGTTCATCATGCCGGTGCCGCGGAGAAACAGAACCTGCTGGTAGAGCTGAACCACTGACCGGATCCGCTGAACCGTCTGAGCGAACCGTCTAGCGGAGAAAGCAGACGCACACTGAAGCGGGTCACTTTCTACAGCAGATCCCACTGAAGTCTGCAGCTTACCTGCACTGATCATGCTCCTCCTGCTGCTCCTCATCAAACACATGATCCCAACCTGCAGGACAAACACATCCAGATCATCAGAACCACACGCCAGAAACACATACATCTGTGTCAGTTTTGTGATTTTCAGGTTTATTTTTTCAAAGAAATTAACTCCTTTATTCATCAAGGTTGCATTAAATTGATCAAAAGTGACAGTAAAGACATTTATAATGTTACAAAAGATTTCTATTTCTAATAAATGCTGTTCTTCTGAACTTTCTGATCATCTGTGAATCCTGAAAAATAAAATGTATCAGTTTCCACAAAAATATTGTGCAGCACGACTGTTTTCAACATTGATAATAATCAGAAATGTTTCTTGTGCAGCAAATCAGCTGACATAAGCAACATTTATATATATATATATATTTTTAAACCCTTGGGCATCATAACATTTTCTTTACTAACATCAGTCCTAATTATTATTACCAAAAGTAAACAATATTTTAGAATTTAAATCTTAGACGTTTATTCACATTATCCCACTGTAGTTTTTTTAAATGAGAAAAACACAACCACAAAAAAAAAAAATCAATAATTTTCCTTATTCTAAATGCGAAGCAGTTTTTGGGGGATTAATACAGTCTTGGATATGTCAATAATTTTGGATATGTCAACAACATTTTGTTTTTAATTTTGATACATTATTATTTTAGTGCAGCTTTTCCCATACACACACACACACACACACACACACACACACACACTTCTCAGTACATTCAAACTGTGTAAAATAGATTTACGAAAGGAAATGAGGCTGAAATGTTACAATTCCAATAAAAATAAACAGCTTTCCTACCTGGCAAAAGCCCACTTTTGACACGCAGACCTGTGTCTGACTCCTGCAGAGACAAAATCATCATCAAACCTGCCATCAGCAGCATTCATGAGGACCAGAGAGAGTAGAGACGCTTTACCATCAAACCGGAGGATGAGAAGCGCTTCCCCTTCCCTGCACAATCAGCTCCTCCATCCTGAAGAGTCACAAATCAATCAGTGTTTCAGTGAATACATACAACATAAAGCAGCTTCTGAAAGCATCTGGACACTTTAGTCACACTTGTGTCATTTACAGACAAAATATCAAAGCAAGTGTTATTAACTGTAAAGAAACAGCCTAAAAAGACAGAAGGCTGATAAAACAATTTAATGCCAGGATTGGCTCAGAGAGAAGCTTTTCCATATTAAGTGTCAGATGAGAACTAAACTCGAAATGAAGTGATCTGAATGTTTTCTGTAGAGCTGCTCAAAGCTGAATCTTGCATCAATGGTTCTGTGTATTACTGTGAAGCTGCTGTATGTATAAAGTGCTACAGAAATAAACGAGGTGTTTTGAAGCGCGTCTGATGTGTGTAAATACGGTTTTCCGCTGGTCCAGCAGCACTGAGATGTCCTCATACAGGTGCTGATCCGGGTCAGTCCTGACCGGTTCTGATGAAGCGGGACGGGGGGGAATTGGAGGTGACCAGATCTCTCTGTAATCCTCATCTGCTGGAGGAACGTCACATGAAGCTGTGGTTAGACTGGGTTTGCTGGGAACTGGCGGCTTCACCTGAGACAAAATCAGAATCAGCTTCCAGAAGCAATAATTAAAGCATTTCAGAGTGAGTGACTAATGAACCGTTAATAACATCCACTATGGCTTTTACATCTCTTTCTTGACTCATGCTTTGCACAACATTAGATTTAAATGCAAAATAAAGGTTTGATTTCTAAATGATAACTGAGTTCATGTGACGACAGTGTAGTGATCATTGCATTCATTCCACATCATAAGCGGTTTAAATAAAGAATACAGTAAAGAGTGTGAAGTACCGTACTCTGGGGTCGGTATTGTCATACTTTTATTCATCAGGGACGCATTAAATTGATCAAAAGTAACAGTAGAGACATTTCTAATGTTACAAAATGTTTCTATTTCAAATAAATGCTGTTCTTTTTAACTTTCTGTTCATCTGTGAATCCTGAAAAATAAAATGCATCACAATTTCCACAAAAATATTGTGCAGCACAACTGTGTTCAACATTGATAATAATCAGAAATGTTTCTCAAGCAGCAAATCAGCATATTAGAATGATTTCTGAAGATCACTGAAGACTGGAGTAATGATGCTGGAAATACAGCTGCACATCACAGAAATGCATTACAGTTTAACACATATTCACAGAAAACAGCTGTATTACATCATAATAACATTTCACATTTTTTACTGTGTTTTTGATCAAATAAATGCAGCCCTGGTGAGCTGAAGAGATTCTTTCAGACGCTCGAGCGCTAGTGTAGTAGTGATTTAGTGAAGCTCTGGAGGGAATCTTTACTCTGTCAGGCAGCACTTGCTCATAAAGAGGCACGCAGTGATGGTCAGTCTGAGCCGCCGCTGTGCCAGACGAGGATGAACGACCACCAGAACAGAGCATGATCCTCCTCTGACACCAGCACAAACTGTTACTCAACAGAAAACAATTAACAGAGAGACTTGATCTTTACGTTTAAGCACAAAACTGTCAAACATGCAGCTCTACATGCCTAGTGGTATATTCATTAGCCTTAACGTGACACATGAAGATCAATAACTTACAGTCAGATCGTGATAGTTCTCTACTTCTCAACATGAAGTTCCCCATCTGAATGTGATGTTGGTTTCAGACCTCTCTCTGAGATACAGACGGACTCGTTCATCCAGACGCTCTGCATTCTTCTGCCGGAGCAACATTACAGCACGTGTAGGTGGGCTCAAAGAGAGTTTAGAGTCACGAGAGGGTTTCTGATGAAGTTTAGTCGACTGCACACAATGCTTTGCTGTGAATTTATTCATTTGGAAGGTGATGCAATGACAGATCAGAAACACAAGAGCTTGAGAAAGAAACAGTCACGTCACATGAGATTCAGTCGTGTCATATTCCTGCTTGACGTCAAACTAACTCACACTGGATCTTATACAAATGCAAATTTCATCAGAGCATCTCGAGAGTTCACGCACCTTTATCAGAAGAACATGTTGCATGCAGAATCTTTCCTATTACAGCTTCAGACTTGTGAACTCCACTTAAAGTTACAGAACACCCCAAAAAAATTAACATTCTGTCATTATATCAGTTGCAAACCTGTACGAGTTTCTGTCTTCTGTTGAACACGAGATATTTTTAATAATGTGTAGCCAAACAGTTGACGGCACCCATTGACTTACATAGTATGGAAAAAAATACTATGGAAGTCAATGGGTGCCGTCAACTCATTCTTTAGAAAACACCTGAAAGAAACTCATACAGGTTTGGAACAGTGAATACATGACAGATTTCATTTTCAGGTGAACTCTCTCTTTATTTCAATGCATCCTGGTGACATTAGAAAAAAAAAAAAACATGTTTGTTTTAATTGATGTGTTGGGTTTCTGTACTCCGTTCACAGTTTTACAGCAGCAGAATTACACGGGTCTCTAGTTTAACTTCCAGTTACTAATTCTTTGTTTTTCAAAATGCACAATCAAAATTCTTTAAACAAAAGTTCAAAAATCAATCACTGTTGTTCAGTCAAACAGGATTATCTGCAGCGCAGCTTCAGTCGGAGATCATTCCTGATAAATGTGTTATTGTCCCACAGCATGCATCGGTTCTGCAGACGTTAGAGATTTGAGAAATACTCCTTCTGGAACTTCTGGAAGTCCTTCTCAGTGAAGACGGATTCCTCCTCCGGTTTGGAGGCGGGCGGATCCGGCCGATGACAGGAGCGCCGCCCCGAATGCTGCTGGACGATCTAGAGAAAACACACCAGATATCATATAACATCCTCACTGACAGAGCGGGAATCTGCTAGTTCTGCCGCATGAAGCTGAAGGAGATCAGACCTTTCCCGTGTCTCTGCTCTGTGTTTTATGATCAGCGGCCAGGAAATACTCCACATTTGACTTCAGCTGACTCTTCTTCTGCTTCTTTCTGTATTCGTCTGAGGAAAACAGAAACATTCATCAGGTGGGACTGAGAATCTGAAGCAGAACCGGTCGTAACGTTAGTGATAGTGTTAGTCTGCTCAAACTGAACGCCTGCCGCTTCTGTGATCAGTAGAGTGAATGAGCAGGTCTGAGCAGGCTTTAAGTAGATTTGAGCAGTTTTGAGCAGGTTTTAAGTAGGTTTAAGCAGGTTTGAGGAGTTTTGAGGAAGTCTGAGCAGGTTTTAAGTAGATTTGAGGAGCTTAAGGGAGTTTTGAGCAGGTTTTAAGTAGGTTTAAGCAGGTTTGAGCAGGTCTGAGGACTTTTGAGGAAGTCTCAGCAGGTTCTAAGTAGGTTTGAACAGTTTTGAGCAGGTTTGAGGAGCTTAAGGGAGTTTTGAGCAGGTTTTAAGTAGGTTTAAGCAGGTTTGAGGAAGTCTGAGCAGGTTTTAAGTAGGTTTAAGCAGGTCTGAGGAGTTTTGAGGAAGTCTCAGCAGGTTCTAAGTAGGTTTGAACAGTTTTGAGTAGGTTTGAGGAGCTTAAGGGAGTTTTGACTAAGTAGGTTTGAACAGTTTTGAGTAGGTTTTAAGTAGGTTTAAGCATATTTGAGGAGGTTTGAGCAGGTCTGAGGTGTTTTGAGGAAGTCTGAGCAGGTTCTAAGTAGGTTTGAACAGTTTTGAGTAGGTTTTAAGTAGGTTTAAGCATATTTGAGGAGGTTTGAGCAGGTCTGAGGTGTTTTGAGGAAGTCTGAGCAGGTTCTAAGTAGGTTTGAACAGTTTTGAGCAGGTTTGAGGAGGTCAGACTTACCCAGAGCAGACCGGATGTGCTTGTCTTTGACCGTGTTTGTGCTCCGCGCTGATCCTCCGGGTCGCTGCAGCCGCCGGATCCGCCTCTGAACGCCCTGTTTATCGGTGCTGATCTGCTCCATCAGCGCGGGCTTACGAGAGCCGCTATTCTTCTGCTTACGCTTCACTCCATCTACAGACACAAGCACATAACATCACTTTTTATAGATATCATTCTGCCTACATACCCAAACAATTACAAACTCTTTGGCAAAAGCGATGCACTAATTAACTTACCTTTCTCGCTAAATAATTCAAGTCCTCTTCGGATCACGGATGCTGACATGATCAAACTGATGAACGAGGTGAAAATAAATGTAGATAAATATAGAGTACAAGGAAGCGTTCAGTGTTTACGTGCCATGTGAATTCAGCGAGTGCGTCACAACAAAGGCTCGGGCAGAAACACGAGCGGCGGCAGCAAAGTTCCGTGTTTGAAGTGTTGAAATAAGTTTCTGAACATATTTTGTTGATTTAATAGGCCATTTAAAACGGTCTGTTGAGTATGGTCCAATATTTCTTTCTTTCTATTTCATCGTTAATATAAGCTTTTGTAATGGGTCAGATATCAGTCATTTGTTGACCTCTGCTCTGATAAAAGATGATTCATATGAACATCCCAGTGTCTCAATAACTCTTTCCTCATTTGATAATCATCTTGTGATTGTTTTTAGCTCATCCAGGGATTTTTGACAGCAGTGTTGTAAAAACAGTCCCTGACCCGTGTTTGTTTGCCTCTGTCCAAACTTTCAACACAGAAATGTCGAAACGAAAGAGATTTTGAACATTCATCAGGTTACTGGTGCAGAAACCCAATCCTTTCCTTTTTAACGACTAAAGCTGGTTTTATTGAGATTTTGGAGACTGAAAACACGCATCTGGAGTCTGTAAGTTAAAATGCTTTTACTTTTAACGAGCAGTTCATTTAAAGTAACACAGCATCCAAGAAATCATTGATTAGTTATTAATTTGAATGCATTCATAAACGGACAAATACAGTAAATAGATTTATTTTGTTTAAAAATGTAAATGCAAATGCTTAAATGATTTTAAATGCAACTTTTAAAATGCATTCAACAGCAGTTGCAGATTTCGGTGCTAATTGTGGTATAAATGGAGGATTTAAAGCATGAATTGTTACTCTCACGTGTTAGTCTTCAGTAATTCGGTACTCTGATGTTAAAATGTTCCTTTAAACATAAAATAAATATACGACATATTTATAGCCTATCATAACTTGTTTGTTGTCACAAGCAAATTACGAGACTTACGAGGTCTGTGTCTATGATAACAACACAGAAGTAGTTTTACATGTGTGTTGTGTGTGTAATACAGTGTTTTTATACAGTCTATGACACGCTGTGTTAGAGCAGACGAACACGGCGCATGCGCAGCAGGGGGCGCCAGAGCGACAGAGTGTGTGTGTGTGTGTGTGTGTGTGTGTTTGTTTGTGTGTGTGTGTGTATGTGTGTGTGTGTGTGTGTGTGTGTGTGTGTTTTTGTTGGAGCTGTAGTAAAACCACAATTACACGATTTAACTTATACAAAGCGTCCTGCTGGAGCTCGTAATCACAGCTGGGAGTGTTCCCCCTGACCAGCAGATTCATTTCAATGTTCAGGAGTTGATAAAGAAGCGCTTAATTTCGACAGGGCGTGAAATCGACTCTGTTTGTTTGTTTGTTTGTTTTTCGGTAAACGCAAACAAATCCATGTATTCAAATGTGAAGGTAGCTGAAAATACAATCAACTTTTCATTTTTTAAACTCATAATTGGTCTTACAATATAAAAAGATTGTAATTGTAGCCTAACTACTGAAAGTTTCCATAAAGTGTTACTAGTTTTGAAAAGGAAACGGAATGTTTCTTCCCTCAGGCAATCCATCTCATGAACACTTAACAATAACTGTGGAACACACACTATTTATTCACTCATACACTTATGTATCTAACACTCATACTCAGTCTACACCTCAAAGTTGCACATAATATACCTGTACATACAATTGTCAATTTATATATTTTTATTCCTTATTTACTTTTTCTATTTTTTTTATTTTTTATTATCTGTGTTTTTTGTTCTGTCACTGTCATTCTGTTACACTGTGGAAGCTTCTGTCACGAAAACTAATTCCTCGTATGTGTAAACATACCTGGCAATAAAGCTCATTCTGATATCGACTAAGTTATTAGAAAACATATATGTATGATAACTATACATTCACCTCTCTGGTTTTATCATTATTTAGCTAGAATCGCCGAATAACGTCATAAAAAGACTGTTTTCGAGTCTCTGATGGAAATTTTAAGGAAGAAAAGCGGGGATTTTTAGAGAAGCTCTTCTGAGAGAAACAGACCGCAAGGATTTTACCCTTTTATTTTCTTCAAACACAAACAGAGAGAGAGAGAGAGAGAGAAAAGGGAAACCCTTAATCTCGAAAAGCTCGAGTGAATCAGTGATCTGAAATGTCGCTTGTGGTGAGATGAAGGCAGCAGGTCAGTGCATTCCTCTATATCGGCTCTGCTCGGTTAAAAGCTCGGGCAGATGATTTCTCGGGAGAATGTAGATGATTTACTGAAGAGAAGCGCTGCAGCCGCAGCCTGATGCAGAGATGATGATGGTGTTTGATTAGAGCATGGAAAACAGCAGAGGACAGAGAGAAGGATGTGACAGCAGAGGTGTGAGGGACTGATGGAGGATGTAGCGGCTCTTTTCTCGTAAACACACTCTGTGTGTGTGTGTGTGTGTGTGTGTGTGTGTGTGTGTGTTTGTTGGAGCTGTAGTAAAACCACACGTTTTTTTCCGACCTCAATCTCTAGATTACCAGTATCTATCCTGTTTTACTTTAGGCCTGCTCAACTTCATCAGAAACTCTTTCACTTGTGGTTGATGGAGGTTTTTTGGGGTTTGACTTCTTGTCAGATGTTAAACTGGTTTTGTAAAATGGGAATGTGTGCCCATTGGTTTGTCATTATTTGTCACGAATGTTTTTGAGTTGAACAGAAACTCTTTTACTGGCAGCAGAAACACACGAGCGTTTGGATCAGCTGGACCTGATTAATAAACCAGACTAAACCAGACTAAATTAGTCACTCCTGCAGTGATGGAGGAAGCGAGAATAGCGCAGTATTTTTGCTTAAATCATGTTGGAGGTCATTGTGAAAAGCAGTGAAAGATTCTCTGGTTTCAGTTTCACCTGTGAATTTGGGTCTCAATTCAAAGATTGAAATTGGTCCGAAATGACAGAAACCCAAACGAAACTGCATCTACTTTCATAAGATCAATATTAAAATATCTCCTCGAGCATGTTGTTTGTATGCAGATGTGTGTTATAAATGTGGACTCTAGTTGAGTTCATTTCTGCACTAAAGGTGTTCAACAGAATCACTGAGTTTCTGCCACATCTCCAACAATGTCTGACTTCATGGATTTGCTGAGGCAAGTCAGTTTAATAACTAGCATTTTAAGTGTCCAAAATGCAAATGCTATCATACTTTTGCATAACTTGACAAAAAAGTACATCTTGATTGAAATGCCACTAAATATGAAAATGTTCTATTTAAGTGATATCTACCTGGATTTCACTCAAGTTTCACCTTAAGCTCTTCACTAATGTTCAGGGTAAAAGAAGAAAAACTTGATTAGTGATTAGTGGCTTTGATGTAATAGATTTAAATGATTCATATTGGTTTTAAGACCTGATCTGGCAAAAACGTACCAAACAAACGGAGAATGCACTGCTCATTTTCTGCCGGGACGTTATCCATGCATTTTACAGACTTTTCTGTGAACCCTAAAACGCAATGCAATGAAGTTCAAAATTCAAAATACAGGTAAAACACCTGTAAAAAACAGAAATTGGAAAATCATATCAATGCAGTACATTGTGCCCTATTTTTATGGATACTGAAGGGAGAGCTGCATTATTCCTTGTATTAGAAAGCAGAGATCACACTTAGTCACATGGTTGATGCATAATTTGATGATTATAATCTGATGAAATAACAAGACATTTAAAAATGCACAGTGCTGATAAACCCTGATGATTCAGGCAGTCTTCACCGATTGGTTGAGGAGTGTTTTTTTCATTAATGGTCAGAATGGAAAAATGCAAGAATTCGATAATTTCTTATTTTATCTTCTGGATTACTTCACCCACACCCTGAAACAAGCTATATGATGCCATCCAGTCACGTCACCTTTATTTCTGCAGTGCGTTTTGCAATAAAGATTGTGTCAAAGCAGCTTCACGGTGATAAATAACAGAACCAATTATGCAAACAGATTGTGTCGTAAGTAAACATGACCGAGGTCTGTGTGAGGTGTTAGGAACTGCTCTATAATAACCCTTACAAATGCAACTCATATCAACTTTAAAAGTGACAGACATGTAGATGTTCGTAAAAGATGTTTTCTCTGTTTTGGGAGGATGGACATAGACCTTATTCAGCTATTGCACTAAAATTGGTTGATACTTTACTATATTTTAGGGTTGGATCATTTTATTATTCATGCAACAATGCTTATTACTATAATAGTTCTCAAGCATTTCTATATGATAAAGAATACCGCAGACTTCTTCATTGCCAGCGTCTGCATATTTGGCATATTTCATGCAATACTGTAGTATTATTATGCTGCTGTTTTTCATAGCATTGATGCAGTTTCATACGGATAATATCACAATGATTATTGCATTTCTCTTACTGAATGCGGTGTCCTGTCAGCAATGACGTGCTTGTGCTCTCTTTGCTTTTTTGTGATTATACTGTCAGTTTAAGTGCTGGTGATGCAGCGTTGCCAGGTATTACTGCGGTAACAAACTAAAATAATCCCCCAAACGCAAAATAAACTGAAATAAGTTAAAATCCTTTGTTTTGGAATTAAGATAAAGATATATAAACCGCAACCACATTATTTGAAAAAAAAAAAGCAAGTCCAAAGACGCTTATAATAGCTGGATCTGGCAACACACAGCTGGCTACCACCGAGGCTGTAAAGTCAAGTCAAGTCAAGTCAAGTTTATTTGTACAGCGCTTTTCACGATACAAATCATTGCAAAGCAACTTTACAGCAAATTAAGTTTCTACAATATTTAGTGGTAGCTTATCAGTGGTGACTGTCAGTTAATGTACATATGGCAATTATTATATTTTGAATGCTTGGCCAAAGATATGTGTCTTTAATCTAGATTTAAACAGAGAGAGTGTGTCTGAACCCCGAACGTTATCAGGAAGGCTATTCCAGAGTTTGGGAGCCAAATGCGAAAAAGCTCTACCTCCTTTAGTGGACTTTGCTATCCTAGGTACTACCAAAAGTCCAGAGTTTTGCGACCTTAGGGAGCGTGATGGATTGTAGCGTGCTAGAAGACTAGTAAGGTATGCTACCACGTAAAGCAGCTCTGAA